CCCCAAAACCCCAAAACCCCAAAACCCCATTGTGCAAGAGTCTAAAAAATTTAATTGATTACAGAAATTTAAGCATAAACAGATGTACCATGTCACTATTTGTATATAAGCAACTCGTATTGTTAGATTAAGAATTTAGATCGTCAAAACTTGAGATACTTGAATTTTTCAGACTGTCATACTGCTAACTTATGAGTTTCTAAGTTCGCTCATAATATTTCTAATGTCATTCTAGTTAGAAGTATTATGTTATTGCTCATAGGGAATGACTCTTGATCCAAAGACAGTCGTATAGCACTCATCTCTTATGCTTAATCCTTCTTGTTTATCATCTAATTAAAAAGACAAAACCTTAGGATTCTCAATAATAACAAGACCATCTAAGACAAAACTGTTATTGTTCAGGCTACAACTTGAGATGCTAGAATGTCTATCTTTATTAAGAGTTCTTATTTTATTAGAATTATCGAATGCATTGAATTCTGTAACAGGAAGCATAACTCTAACCAATTTACTAGATTTGCTCAGAGTACTACTAATAGAAACATCTTTAATCTTGAAGTCAGAGATAGCCCCTATCAACCAAGATATGCCATGCTTCCTTGTTTTAAACTTGATTTTAATGATGAGGTACTCAGACGAAGTTTATTGCTATTAGAAAAATTCTTGATAAGCTTATTGGCATTTATATTTTCTAGAGTTGAGAGTGAACTCACTTAATTAACTATTATTATTTATAAATATACTATTTCCTCCCTTTGCCTGAGGCTTATTAAAACCACTTCCAGATTTTTTATTTTGCGTTGGATTATTATTTACAGATAGATATCCAAGTTCCTAAGTTTGAAGCAATTTTCTCTTATCTACAATAAAACTACTGGAGACTGATGATATTCCTCTGGATTAAGGGGCATCAAATTCATTATTTAGTTTTCTTTTTTTTAATGCACCCTTTGAAATCATTATTTGTTATTGTGATAATCCTTCCTCAAGTTCACTATTCTCTCCGTTATTAGCAGCAGTTTGATTTGAAATTTCAAAGCCTTTTCTTTTCTTGTTGTTCCTTAAATTGATAGTTTTCTCCTATTTATTATATTATTTTTTTTAGTTCACTTTATCTGCTGAGTAGTTAATATTCTTGTTCTCTTCATTCTCTTTCATGTCAATATCGTCTTCAATCATGTTATTATCAATCATAGTGTTATTAAGATTACTATCCATAAATTCACTACTACTAGTATTAAAGAAATCATTGGAGCCCAAATTGCAAGCTAAATTTGCAAACTAGAGGCCAATTGCTTTCTAGTTCTTTTTGTTTTACTTATTAGCATTAGGGTTAAATTGAGTATTACTCTAATTTCTTAAGGACATTCCCCCTTTATGATCATCAGAGTAGACCTAAGATTAAACTTAAATTATTTTATTACTCTCATTTGAATTGAACTCCTCTTATTTTATATTTGCCAATTCATGCTTTGGGTTAGAAGCCCTCTCTTAATTTCTATCTTTTCTAATACCCATATATCCAGCAATCCCAAAACCTCTGTCTTAGGACATCTTTACTGGGGAAAGTTGATATTTTCTATTAACTTTTGGCTGCAATAGTTTTAAGTCAACTTAGTTTGTATCGTGAGAGATTTTATCCCATGACTGCTATTAAAGAGGTTTAACTTCCTTCTTAACTAAATTGAAATTGCCCATTCCAGCAATTTTGCGCTTTGAATTTTCTCCTTGATTTTAAGTTTAAGCAATATTATTGAATGAATTTTAGTGAGACTTATAATTAGGTCTTCTGCTTTGGTCATCATTTTTTAGCAATCCTTCATTCAAGTTGTTACAAATTTCCAAGAGATCTATTTCTTATTTAACAATAGGGAAGGTCATTGAGTCCTAGTTGCTAATGCAGCCACTTTAATTGTTCTGACTAGTATCCATTTATGAGGTAGCCTATCCCCCGCCATTTGCTCCATTACCAGCTGAACTTAACCTTGGATTCAAGCCACTACTATTAGTTCCATTATTAGGCACTTGATAGAATTAAGAAGCCTGGAATTAAGACAAAGTTTATTTCTGAGATTATGAGTCAAATGTGCCTCCAAGGACATTTTCATCTCTCTTTCTATAGTAAGTTGTGTTCATTTATCAATTTTAAGTTTTTGATTTTAATTTAATAAGCTGAGAAGTCAAATGAAGGTCTAAACTAATAATTAATTTTGTAGTAATTCACTAGGTTGTGATAATTAATTATTTTTCCTGCAGGAGTATTTTATTATTTTAAGTTATTTATAAAGATGAAAAGATATTAAACCCTTCTATTACTTCTAGCACTTCTTTCAGGTAAGATTTATATTATTATAGACAATGAGCAAGTAATCTAAACGTTGGTATAGTGTCATTTGTTCTCGGTTAAGAGAAAAAGGCCGTAGATCCAGCCGAAAGAGCAAGACTAAAGGAAGAGAGATTCCAATAAAAGAAGAAATTAGAGTCATGTCTGACTTTAGTGAGATCACTTTTCACAAGAGAGGAGGTATATAATATAAAATGTATAATCAACAATGCATTTAGACTAATATCTAAGATTTCGTTAAGGAGCACCCAACCCTTCACAAGGATAGATTATTCAGCAAAATTTTAGCATAAATGATGATCCACTGCAAAGAGAGAATTACTCCTGAGTAGAATGTGACTCTCCAAACTTATAAGGATAGATCAGCTGAGTTCGACTCTACACAACCAGCCTATTCAGCTCTCCTAAACTTTGACCTCGGCAAATACGCAGTAGATCAAAGTCTTCCAAAAGAAAAGTAAGAAGGTCCAGTTGATATGAGTCAGCAAGAGGGTATGATGTAGACAATTGTTGAGGTAATTATAGCTAATTGCTTTATTCACCTTTTTAAAATTCCCCCTATAGGATTTAAGCGAGGAAATGAAAAGAGAACGTGAAGAGGAGATGAGAAACACCAGAGGAGCTCCATCAATCTTTTTCCTTGAGCTGTCTAATATGTCAACTTCAATTGGCCTTCTCTATATGCTTGCCATCATTGGTTTCTTCGGGTTAATCTTCTACGTACTCATCAATTAAATCCTAAACAAGCCAGTTGATTTTACATCACAAAAGAAATAGGAAAGACAGCATAAGAAGAGAAGCACTGGCAAAAAAGAAGAATGAATAAAAGATAGACCATTACAGGCAATGCATAAAATGTTTTAGCTAATAGTTTATTATTGTCTTTAGACTAAAAATTGGAATTATATCTAATGTGCTTCATAAAATACCCATAATAAATTATGAATATGCCAACCCAATGTCATCTTTAATTTAAGAGCACATGGGGTTTTGGGGTTTTGGGGTTTTGGGGAGATCGGAAGAGCACACGTCTG